GTTGTTGAAACATATGATATTGAACATGCGCACTGTAAGTTCCTTTCAAGCCAATTGACAAGTATAACGGTATAATAATCAACAACAATAAAACCAATGATATCAAAACTCATTCACTGAAAAATAGAAAATTAGAAGAACGAGTACTATACAGCCATATCGGTAATATGAAATTTGCCAATAGCATTCATCCAGTGTATTAAAAACACACCTACAGGGCTATAGCATGTAATTTTTTTAGAATTAATGTACATGGTAAAAAACAGACCAGTGAGACCCAAGATTGTATAGATACCTAAAAGTGAGTGCTTGACTTAGTCAATATACGTTAGAATGCTAATACGAGGATAATAGTAATGTACAGCTAATTAATAAATTATGTGTACCTAGATTTTAAAAGCTATATAGCTAAATCATAATATGCAGTATGAGACTATGTTATAGTGTTATACTCAAATGTCGTGGAAAATACTGTGACTTCCAACATCTTCTCCTACATTGTCCATCTATCCAAAGAACTCAGCTAAAGAATCTCTTTTCGACTTTTGGTATTAATTTTTCCCCTATTGACGTTCTTTCAATAGACAACGTTAATTTAATCATACATGCTCTAAATTTTATTCTGCAAGCAGGCTTCCGAATTTAAGAGTGTGAGCTTTACCAATTCATATTTGGGTACTTCAGATTAATGTACATAATTGTCGAGATATTATAATTTAATGTTAAAGTCTCTTTAAAAAATAAAAAAGACTATATTATGATTAAAAGGAACCTCGGGAATATAAATAAAAAACATATTTCAAAACTGTAAGTATCTATTACGAGTATATGAAGTGAAAACTGAAAATAGTACAACCATTACAACCTATTGGTCGTTGTGTTATAAAAGATATCCAGGGACTTCAAGTTGATCAACTGCATAAATCGAATCTGTTTTTGCAAGTAAACATATTATGTAACCTCGGATAGACGGATACAACAATCAAATTTATACTTACTTTTTACGTATAATATGTTTATTACATTCACAGATTTTTTTATGTACCTACGTAATAAATAAATCTTTTTTTATTATTATACGAATTTTGGTTGATGTTTGAATAGTTTAGTAAGTATTTTTTATTTTATTTTATAGGCACTTATTTTATTCTAAATTGTGTGTAATCTACTTTTTATTGCAAGTCATAAAAAAAAACCATGTAAACATGATTGAATTGTGAGTACCACTCAAAATCAGGAATGGCCTATTTGTAGTAATATCTTATTTCTTATCTACCTCACCCTGCTACCACGATATATGATTGATTGCCGATATTATTAGTTACTACCTACTTATTACTAACCAGTTGGGTACCTACAATACTAGTCCAGATCTGTCTGCTTTGTGCCTACGCTTTGGGACTCTGCAGTCGTGATAGCGTCTGTATATTGAATTGTGTTTAATTGTTAACTTTTACAAGTGATGATGAACAAACAAACACTTTCATAGTATTGCTATTGATACAACTCAAGCATACTCGTGCTTTTACAAATTTAAAGAACTGCACGGGCCGGGCTGGACCATTTTTTAAACAAAAGTTACGGACTGCGCAGGGCCGGACTTTTCTTAAATCAAATCCGAGCCCGACCGAGCTTCTATGAAAATAAGAAATTTTAGCAGGACCAAAATTATAAACAAAAAAAAACAAATTTTAGTATCGAATATAAACTATGGACGTGTCCCAAGTGAGGTGTGATAAAATTGAATCGGTATATTTCTTATGAAGAACCTATAATAGTGTAAAATAACAGCAGGACTAGACGTATGGCGATGACATTAAATATTTGTGACCACATGTTTCGATAAACCGGACAATGAGCGACTGTTCCCCATACACACATAACACAACTATAGATAGTGAACTGCATATTACGTTCCCACAGGAACATTGGAGTCGTGCGGCCACACTGTGTCAACGTGCAATTTTAACAAAATAACTCAATAGGTAATATATATCTATACATGTTTATATAATATGTTACTATTATTTGTACATTATCAAGCATGCAATTTCGTCCCGTTGGCATATGGCTGTCTGCCTGCCTGCCTGACTCCAATATTATCCTGTAGTGCCGTAGTGGGCTATCTAGTTGTTTTATATGTCTATATGCTGTTCCCAGACCCGCTGAAACGCAATAACTAATTGCATCTAAAAAAAAAATGTATAATCGAACCGAATCGGGCTTTCCAAAAATATTACCGGGTCGGACCGGGCTGCAAATTATCAGCCAGTGCAGACCTTTATGCTTTATATACAAAATTCATACATTAAACTTAAAAAATAGTTACCTAAACCTGATACATGTCAAGAATGTTTAAATTTAAATGTTTAAGAGTTATTTATGATCCCTAAGAAATTAATTAACAAGTAGGTAAAATGTATTTATAATTCAAATACAAACAAATCCAATAACTTCATTATTTATTTGATTATTGCTTCTTGATTTTTTAACATTGCCCCATTTTCTAACCTAACTTAACCTAACCTAACCTTGTATCTACAATTCGTAGAGAGACATTTTTCAAGTGGACCGAAATCGACAGGTGTTAAAACGTTAAATTATAATTGAGATCACAAACTGCTATTAGAAATATCGAAAAATAATTTTTATAATTATAAAACAACGATCCACTGTCAATTGGCTTAACAACTCGGATGTGTTTGCCATCAACTGCACCGATACAGTTGGGAAAGTTGGCGTGCCTTTCAAATCCTTGTATAATTTCAACCCACTTTTCTTTTGTTGGTAGAGACTAGAGCCATACATATTTATTCAAAATTGCATAAATTATTAATTTCAATTTCACAATTGAATATAATTTATATTTCAGTTGATAAGAATCTCGTTGAATCTAAATGTAATCTATATTTATATGATATTATAATATATTCTATGCGTAATTATAACTTTATTAAATACTAAAATATATATATTAGGTACTAGTTAGTAGTTACAGTGGTTCCCAACCAATTTTATTCTAAGCTCTTCTTGTACATTTTCAAAATTCTCAACCCCCCCCCCTCCCCCCAATTAAATTAGAGTTCACCTTTTTTTCATATTTAAGTTCATTGAAACGTCTTAATCGCCTATCGGTCTCTATTAATGTCTTTTCACTTGGAAAGGGTAAAGTGTATTATATATCTAGTACACTGCTACCCCCTTCTCTAAGGAGATAATTTTCAGATGTGTACTCCCAGTGCAGTGGGTAGAGTGGGGCAGGGTACAGCAATCGGGACAAAGGCGGGGGAGAGACTTATACGTTTTTTGCTCTGCATCAGGTTCGAACCAATGACTGCGCGCGTCATGGTCAGCTGTGCGACAACCACACTACACTGCCCACAAAAATTAATTTATTGTTTTTAATTTAACTGATTGTATTATTCTCGCTGGGGGGAATTCCCACAGGTTGGGAACCACTAAGGTAGTATAGGTACCTACTTCATCAGTTTGCTTTTATATACTTAACTGATATAGTCTTAAGATCACTTGAAATGGGCCTTTGCTTTTTACTTAGATTTGGGTCCTAGTGTGCCTACAAAAAAAAAAATATATAGGTACTTATTAGGTAATAAGTAAATCATTTTTGAGGTCAAACATATTACGGTTCTGGGGCAATTACGATAGGACAAAACCAAGGGGAAGAGTAATTTTCAAAAAACCTTAGACTCTAGAGTTTATTTTGTTCTATCCTCTGTATATTGCAAATAGCCTTAATTTGCTTTTTATAGATTTAGTCACAATGTATCATCCATAACTGCAGTTTCTATACAATTTTGGTGTAATGTTGTTCTAAGACTACCTACACTATTTTTTTTTCTGCTTCTACCGAAAGTTCTTTAACCCAAAGTGAACAGAAACGAAAGTAAGTACCTATTTTAAAGTTACTTATAAATGTTGTAAATGATTACTAGAACTAGCGATGCGGTACTGTCGCTGTAATAATATATCGTTCGCTGCAATTGTTTCGAAACTAGCATAAATCATAATATTGGTACTTATTGCAAGTGTTCGATGACAATATATTATATTATATTGACGAGGAATTAAATTACCTATATCTAGTATCTGCATTCGTCGAGAGCTTATAAAAATAAAAACAAATCTGCATATAATATATTATACTATCATATGTGATAGGTACTATTATTGCACATCCGTTGTAGTGCAGAAGCTCTACAAGAGAGACAAAAGCATCCTTAGAATATTTTATATAATTATTATAATGGTTCATAATATATATATATTATAGGTGTCTCTTTTATGCATTATCCAGGGTGTCTTGCTGTATTTGTCCTCGTACATATCCGCCACCTACTAAGTAACATTATATACACTCGACAGCCGCCTCTTACCTAAAATTTAAGACTTAAAATAACTATTTGAATATCAGATACCGGTAACTGACGGAAATCGTTACTAATTCCATACTTTTAAAATGTTTACATGCCTACAGATAAATGCCGTTATTCGGTTCACTGAGTCTTACCTACAAATTTACAGTTTAAAAATCGTTTAGTTTTTCCTCTCAGAGGAGACAAAATAAATAAAACCACCATGATAATTATCATAAGCACAACAATTTCATGTTCACATCACATACAATATTATTATGTCACGAGTATAAATCTCGCAGTGTCCGTCGCGTGTGCACATCTGATGCTTTTTGGTTTTGTATGCTTACAAAACCATGACTAACGGCCAGACAGTCACCCTACATAGTGAATTTAATTGTTATATTGTGCACGTAGGTACCTACGATAATGCGACGACAATTATACACCTATATCCCGCGACCGTGTAGCCGTTTTCGTTTCGGTTTGACCAAATTTAGCAATAAAAAGTCCGACGGACGGAGGGGGACGGACCACGTATACATGGCTATTCAAACTATATATTATTATGCTGTATTATTACACCTATTATACGTACTACATTATATCTGCATATACGATGCGGCTGTTCTCGCGGTGACAGAGAGATCGTTGCGCGTGGGACCGACCGGGCGTGGGCCTGACGACGAACGTTTTGCACATGCACAAGCATCCGTTTGCGGTGGTAAAGCCGCGGGGTGGGCAAACTTTTCCGTTTCAGTTATACCCGTGCTCCAGTCGAACAAACACCGCATTCACGGGTGTGCACTAAATACATAGTTCCAATTCTACGATACATACAGTAATCGTATTATACTCGCCAGTAGGTAAGTACACATATTGTTATATAATAATAAACTATCGTATTTGTGCTGCACTATTTAGGTAGTAATATAAGGTATATTATCTGTTTTATTATTCCACTAACAACCCACAATTTGTTAAGTGGGGCACGTACAAAAAAACCTCATCACCGTGAAGGTTCTATCTTCTATTTTGGAGCAATATCGTATATTCGAAAAATAGTCACTTTTATAAAAATATGGTTGATTTAATAATTGTAATTAGTATTAGAGTTTAATAGTTTAAGGTACCAGCTCTTAATAATATGTACCCAATTAAATAAATATTATATTTAGCTGACTGCTTAATATATGAATTCTAATAATTTCAGGAGATAAGGCTATGACCACCTGCTCTGAAGGATTATTTAGGTGCCTGTTGTTGTTCTTATGATTTTTATTCATTGGTTTTCATTCTATAGTCATAAAATACGGTTAACTGTTTAGTGTTATTAAGATTAGGTTTGTGAAACTAAGTAAAGGATCGAGTATCACTTGTTAACTAACCTTTTAGAGGTATAATAATTAATAAAACAATTAATGATAAATGTACTTACAGTAGGTATACTATCATATGTGTTCACACGCGCATAGCATGACTGCTAAAACCTATAGTCATGTTATACATAATATTATAAATCGTAACTTTTAATTTAATTGTAAAAGTGTAAAATAATTATGCAGAGTAATTTAAAATATAGAACGATGTTTTGTGGTTCTAGAGTTGCAAATTATTCTTTAATATTCCAATACATAATTTACACGTCCAGTATAAATAGTAGCAAAAAAATAATTGAATAATTACAAAACAATATGATCTCCTTCTACTCACCTTTATCCTATAGTTAAAGAATCATAATTTTGAACGAACTATTTGTTTATAGTCTTTTGATTTTCGAGATGTAGAACAAGTATTCTAAAAGTAAAATAATTATTTACATTACGACTTTATGACTGAAGTTCTCGAGATATTTGATTTATGTATAAGAATATAAATAACAAACAATACACTTATTGTTTTAAGGACTTAAATGTTGACGAATTAATTTTCTTTTAATGACACTCCAATTTATTGTATATCTACGAAAACAAAAAAACAAATTAATTTTCACTCAATTACCAAGTTTTGTCAGTTTCCCATTACTGAAAAAGATCTGTGAAATAAATAATAAGTTAAAAACAAAAATAGATAATATTCATTTAGAATTTTTAAGGACCCCCCCCCCCTTTGCAAAAAATCTAGTATGTTTATCAGTTTATTAGCAGCCAACTTAACAATATACATCAACACTTCCATATTATAACGAACTTCCAACCAACAAAATTAACTAGTTTCTAAATTAGAACCAAATTTATTTGATTATATTTAACAAAATCCTCTATAATACGAATTATTTTTGTTGCCCATAAAATTTCAGACTATTTCAAAATTTCGTTGTATTATAATTTATAATTCTTTCACACTCAACACCTGTAAAGGTTTCTTGTAAGTATTAAAAAGTCCAAAGGGCCTATTAATATTTATGGATGGACTGCAGCTAGTTGTTGTACTCTTACTACATAGTATTAAAATATTATTTATTATTATACACAGAAATGTAAAGAAAGAAACGTGGAATTATTATTATTATTATTATTATTATTCGAAAGTAGATACCCATATATGTAGATTGTATATAGCTGATTGTGTATATATACAAACATTGAAACATCACGTTCACACTATTTTTGGAGTTTTCCTTCGGCCTATGTGTCCACGTTACCCTATTAGTTTAAAATAAAACGATTATTATTTATTACGGTTTAAATCAACAAATATTATTGATTGGCACACTCGCACAGTTCATAATAGAACTAATCGATGTATTGTTATACTCGTTAAAAGCCTTAACGTCAACTGTCAAGGTCCTACACTCCTATATGGCTGTATAATATAATAGTTTATATTCTATCTAATTTTTCAAGAATAGTATGGAATCTATATTGATGGAAATAAATGGTATACAGAACCTACCTAATAAGTATAATAACAATAATAGTAAAAGCTACAATAAGTATTGCCGAAAAAAAAAAAGACCACAGTAATAGTAATAATATTAATATTAATAATTAATACAAGAGGGTTTGACCAAAAATGGTTATATCAAGGAAAACGCGTGTATGCGAAACGGCCCACTTGCGATGGTCCGTCCCACGTAAACTTTATGTACCGTAACCCGTGTGCTGTACACTGTATACAACGCGTACATACAATATAATAATAAAATACTGTATTGAAATAATGCGAACACGTTTCCGATTCCGATAGAAAAGAAAAACGCCACTTCCCCCTCTACCATCCGCTCTTGCACGATGGCCCCCCAACCGCTCTCCCCATTTATCACTGCTCGTCTGATCCTTTTTACATGGCCAACGCTAACACCTTCGCACTGACGCTGCTGCTGCTGCTGCTGCTGCTGCTGTTGCAGCAACCTTAAGTTGACCGCCCCCGTGATTCAAATGTCCCAATTGAGCTTGTACACTATACTGACTCATAGAATCTATTTAAATATATACGACATACGTAATAATTTAATTGGCATGGCAAGTATACACTTATAGAGGTACCTACATTATAATATTATTAAAAATGTGTACACCTATATATGTAGGAAAAACGACGAATTATGTGCAGCGTAGGTATTTATGATATACATTGTATTTTGGCTATGCAAGTGTTGGGGGAACATTTGTCGGAGGGAAGAGGAAGTAGGGGGCCAACCACGACGGTATCGAGAAGTATTATTTTCACGAATTCTAAATATCCGAATATTATATTATTATATAATATTACACAGCCATATGGGTAAATATTTTATGTGAATATTTAACGAGCCATCGTGTGTATCTTCTTTTGCCATAACCCGTACCTTTGTAGTGTAGGGCGTGAATGATACTGTACAACGAGCACAATATAACTCATAAACTTATATAATATATAATATATATATACACACACACATAAAACAACAATTACCTATGTATAATACATACTATTTATGTAATATTAGTGAGATAAGCAATAACTATTTACCGTCAAAAATACATAATAATTATTAATTAATACAGTTATATCAATACATATCATTCATTCATCGTATGATTTAGGTAATATTTGTTTATGTCGATAAGATATAATATAGACTATATAGACTATATATTAATTATATATATTATACCTATTGTATCTCATTTTCAGTCAACGTATTTTAATACAGCACGATTACCCTAGGTTTGTGAATAAAATTACCAATAAGGCAATAACCTACAAATTATAATATTATAATTACAAATAATATATCTGAGTCACAATTTTATTTTTTTTATTAGTTTTAGTAGGTATACCTATACCTACCTAACATTTATAATTGTTTAATAGAAAAATCATAAAAAATTCGAAAAATCAATTAGATATAAGTAGATGTATCGCAGGAAATATACTCAGACACGTATTTAGGGGAAGGCGGAAAAATTTAATATAATGATACTCAAAAAAATAATCAGTTTATTCTGGAGATTATGGTCAATAAACTTTGAAACTTGTAAAGAACTCTCCGCAAGTACATAGGTAGGTAGTAGGTACGTAAAGAATTTAATTAATTACACCAGTATAATAATAGAAATGTGGTAGGTAAATCAATTTGTACTATTTGAAAAAATAATTTTGCAGATATGTATACTTACAGGTGCTTATAAGTTATAATTAACAAAAAAGTAATTTAAAAAAAATGTTTGCATAGGTATACCTACAATATATTACATCTAATTAATTATTGTACACAGATAATATCCTACTTTTAACTACAATTGAAAAATGTTATAGGTTATCTGAAAAAAAATGACTAGCTGTACCATGCAATAAAATAAAAGTTGACACTAAAAATTCACGAACAAATATAATAATTTGTTACTCTTCAATCAGACCACCTACCCTCACGAGTTCATAATAACGATACATTATTTAACGATTAAAAACAATAACGAATTGGATTATTTTAGACACAATAATAGTATATTATTAAGAACAAGTTAAAACATTAACTGATTCAGAACAAATATATAGGGGGCACCTCACGCGATACCCCAATCACTTGGCACGTAGGTAGCGCCTCACCGTTTCCATGTTCGATTTTTGTTTTTGATTTCTGCATTTTATTTCACTGTAATCAAAATTCACATTTTCACCAAATATTACATTCACAATGTTTAATGTCAATTGTAGATCAAGGGGGGAGGGGGCAGATTAATAGTAGTTTTATACTTTATTGGACTATTACGTCATTTATATTTTATGACCTTATAGTAACCTAACCTCAGCGGATAGCGATGGATGATACTGTACCCAGTACCAAATTCAATGCTTGTCTATCGCCCCGATCGCCCTCTACATTGGATCGCCATTGATCATTATAGATCATGAAAAATTTAAGTCAAGAATTTATCTGTGGGTAATAGAGTTAAAAAAAAGCTTAATTAAGATTTCTATCAATAGGGACTCGGAAAAAAGATAAGGGTCTACAAATGTTGGCTTCTGGTTTAAACTCTGGTAATAAATTTCTTTAATATCTGATCCACGAATACTGCATGACTATCAGACTGTGCAGAGTCAGTGTTAGTGTGTTACATTTTATAATAATAATTAATAATATGTATATACAAATATAGGTATAATGACGTATTTACAATACTTATTATGTACCTATATGATTACTAATTAGTATAAACACAATAAGTCACAGCACTTCAGTTATAATCGTTTACGTAATGTGTTTAATGTAAGATAACATTCAAGTATATTATTGCAAATATGAGATAATATATAGAGTAATTATGATCAGCGATATTGAATGGATGTAATAACATGAATGAAAATTTAATAATATATTTCACCAGTTGTTATAAAGTAACTTATTGGTTGTAACCAACGATTTTAAATAAAATAAGCT